AGATTGAGTATATCCACCAAGAGACTGCCACTGTGCTGGGTTCAGAGATTGTGGCCTTTGAAGAGAAGGAGCTGAGAAGCAAAGTGCAGCACTATATGGCTTACTGGGTAGGCCACCGAGAGCCTCAAGGGGTTGATGTGGAGGAGGCTTGGAAATGCCGGACATGCAACTATGCAGGTATCTGTGAGTGGAGGAAGGGCGGTGGGGTGCACAGCTCCTCGCTAGAGCCCCAAGCCAAAAAAGCCAGATGAACAGAAGGTGTGCCTTAAGGAACTTTCACCCTTCCTGTACTCAAAAAGTAAAACAGGGCCAGTCTTTGGCTTTCATATTTTCTCGACCTCTAACCACTCAAATCTAGGACCAATGCTTGGGTGAGTGGGAGATCTGGGATTATACTGTGCCTGGAGCTTCACCATAGATTGCCAAGAAGACAGATGCTCATCATGGCTGGAACAGCAGTATCCTTCAGCAATCATTGCCTTCCTAAGAAGATTCTTCAGTTTCTGTTAAGTCTCTTCCCTATTTTTTCTCAATCAAGGCTTTCTGCATTTTATGTAATAAAATAAAATGAAACACTGTCCAGATTGGTTAACTGATGGGTTGTTGTTTTTTTTTTCATAATCTCAATCCTTCATAGGTAACCACTATAAATGGTTGTGTATATGCTAACCTTGACCTTCTGGTTCATAGGTTGACGTTCAACCACTGAGCCATCGGCTGGGCACTTTGTGGTTTCTTACAAAATAGTTGAAGCATTTGTAATTGGAATCACCTCAGGATCACTAATGATGTTTTCTACAAATACTTCCCTGGTTTGCAGCCTTGACATGTCTAATTTTATCTCTCCCTTTTGAATTCTGCCTAAGGTGTCTGAACCCCAAATTATGGACCTCTTGGGTGCTTGTTCAATGAATGGCTAAATAAAAAGAGATGTGACAACAAAGCTATTTCTTGATTTTTTAAAAACATGCTTCCTGGGCCAAAGAATGGATTGAGTACCTTAAGTAGGATTAGGTTCAACCGTTCAGAATAGAAATTTCCAAAACAATAGTGGTTAAACAAAATAGAATTTTTTTTCTCTCTTATGAAAAAGATAGTCTAGTTCTGATGTGGCACCCCATGGTGTTCGGAGCCCAAATTCCTTCTCTCTTATTTCTCTAACATCAGCAGGTATCTTTCTACTTCATAGTCCAAAATGGCTGCCCAAGCTCCAGTCACCCATTACACATTCATTATAGAGCTGAAATAGGAAAAGGGCATCATTTTAAGGACACTTCCTAAATTTGTACCACTGCTTCCACTTCCATCCCATTGGCCAAAACTTGGTTACCTGGTGATAGCTAGCTGCATATGTAAATTTTGTTCTGGGAAAGCATATATACAGATAAAAACTGAAAATTCTATGAACTATAAAAAAGGGAGAATGGATATTGAGTGACAACTTGACATCTCTGCCCCACTGAGATTTTCAGGAACAGAGCTTGCAATTTTTGCCTTGCTAAGGACCCTAAACCCTAGTGGGAAAGAGGAAAGATGAACATGACTAGTCCTTAATTGGTCCCCACAACCACATCCCGGCACCAAAATGTGTTAGAACATTTAGTTTAAGGCTCATAATTTTAAAAATCTGATGTCATCTGCTAGATGGAGTCTGGACAACTCTTTCCCTGTCTTGCATAATCTGGGGCAAAAGCATTGGATTAAAAGGGTTAAGTTTCAGAATTTGATACTTGCAAATCCATTGGAGGCCTATAGGAGGCAGGTCCTTAAGAACATGAAATTCTTGGAGGCATCTGGACAACTCTCCCTGTCTTGCATAGTCTGGGGCAAAAGCATCAGATTGAAAGGGTCAAGTTTCAGAATTTGATACTCACAAATCCATTGGAGGCCTGCAGGAGGCAGGTCCTTAAGAACATGAAATTCTTGGAGGCTTAACCTAATGATTCTGGGCATCCTGTGGCACCAAGAAGAGAGCAGGTTTGAGAGGACCCAGCCAACAGATTCAGTTCCAGCCCTCCTGCTTTATGTAGTTTAGCAGAGAGTACAGACAAGTAATCAGGCAGTGACAGAGCCATGTGATAAGAGCTAGCATAGAGTGGTAGGGTGGTGCAAGATGCTACAGGTTCACAAAAGGAAGTCTACACTGGACTTGTGAGAAACATTGACTTACTAGATTATCGGTTTATTACAAAGGAATATTTGCCCTTTGTGACTGTCTTACTAGTATTTCACTCAGCGTAATGTCTTCAAGTTTATCCATGTTATAGCATGTGTCAGATCAATATTCAAAAATAAATTGTATTTGTACAGTTGCAATAAAAAATCAAATGGAAATTTAAAATACAGTTTATAATATAAAAAAGATGGAATACTTCAGGATATTTTTGACCAAAAAATATGCAAGTATTTTACATCAAAAACTAGAAAACATTGCTGAGAGAAATTAAAGCAGACTTAAATAAATGAGACATACCAGGCTCATGGTTCTCTCCAAATTGATCTATAGATTGAAGATGCTGAGCCAGACAAGTTCCATAATGCACTTATGAGGATAAAACTATAGACAGTTTCACATTTATTCAGTATTCACAAATAATTATTTAGCACCCATTAAGTGCCAGGCTTTGGAGACAATGTCATGAACAAAACTAAAATTACACTCACACCATTTCCAATGAGTTTGTGATTTTTTTTCTCCACCACCAACCAATTCTCTGACACCAACTGAATATCCTACAATTCAGCTCAATTCTGACACTATCTACCTGGTAATAGTGTCAGATTATACAGGTAAAGTGCTCAGTCCTACAATTTCCCCCCCCCCCCCCTCCATTTCAGATACTAATTGCAAGTCTAGGTTGTCACCTGTGCTTCTGACCTATAGGTTATAGATTGGAGGATCCAATGATCCCCTCCTCATGTTCAACTAATTCGATAGAGTGGCTCACAGAACTCAGAGAAACATTGTTCTTACTAGATTATCAGTTTATTACAAAGAAATATAATATAGGAACAGCCAGATAGAAGAGATGCATAAGGGCAAGGTGTAGGGGAAAGGATACAGAGCTTTCATGCCTTCCCTCTGTGGGTTCATCACAGCTCCCCAACCTCCAATACCTTCCTATCTTCACTTTCAGCTTTCTATTTCACTGAGAAAATAGAAGCACTCATAAGAGGAAATCCTATTTCTCTCACCACCAAATCTGTCTGCCCATCTGCATCTGTATCCATGAACTCTGCCTCCCCTTTTATTTCAATGGATGAATTGTACACACTCTTATAATCGATCCTTATGATTGTATACTGGAATCCATCCCTTCTCTCCTCAAAGACTTTCCTCCTGCAACTGTCCTTTCTCTACTGTGTTGTCAGTTTTCCCCTCTCTACTGTATCATTTTATATTAGAAAACAAACATACTGTAATTTCTTCCATCTAAAAAAAAGAAAAATCTGGCCCTGGCCTGGTAACTCAGTTGGTTAGAGGTCCTCTTGACGTCAAGGCTGCAGTTGGATCCTTGGCCAGGGCACATACAGGAATCAATCAATGAATTCATAAATAAGTGGAACAAGTCCACATTTTTTATGTCTCTCTCAAAGCAATTTTTAAAAATTCTGGACCCATTAGCCACATGCAAAGACAGCTTTACTTTTCTGTTCATCTTTAAAAAGCAAAACTTTTAAAAGTATTGTCTCTACTTGCTTTCTCCACTTCCTCTCTCATCCTTTTATCCCACTCTTATCAAACTTCCACCACTATGTCAAAACGGCCTGTTTCAACAACTTTCATGTTGCTAAATTCAATGATCAGTTCTTAGTTCTCATCCTAGTTGACCTATCAGTAACATTGAACACAGCGGATCACTCCCTTCTTCTTGGAATGTTTTCTTCCCTTGATTTTTCAGATCCTAACTCTCCTACTTTTCCATCTATCTCACGGATTATTCATTCTCAGTCTTCTTTGTTGGGTCCTCTTCATTTCTCTGACCTAAGCTACTGCATTGCTAGAAGAAACCAAATTTGAGTCAGGGTAAATTATTCTCTTAGCATACTGCTGATTTGGATTTTCCAGTATTTAAAAATTCTGATGTCTATATTTTTAAATAAAAATGATATGTACACCTGCTTTTTTTGTGGAGAGCATGGAGTTAGCATAACTGACCCCATTTTGAGATGTGGACTCTACCCATGTCCAGGCAAACAGCCAAAGCCTGGGCATTTAACCAAGGGAGGTAACCAATAGGTGACAAGAACTTAGAGGACCAAGCGACCACCTAGGGTCCCCGCCTGATCAGGCACCCTGATACTACCCGGGGGTCAGGACATCGGGTTATACTCGCAGCCAGAGTGATCCCCACACTTTAAAAAATGAGCATGGCTCTCAAGGCGGCCCCAGAGATACCAACCCTGGAATTTACCCCAAGTGAGGTGGAAATAGCTGAGGTTTTCCGGAAACTAGCTCCACGTGCCTTATGGGAAATGTAGTCTCGGATGGGTGGCCTACACCGCGGGGGAGCCTGGGAACTCTAGGTGGGCTGTTACTTCCGCGTACACCCGGCGGGGAGGTAGCCAGCCTTCGGTAATCTTCGCATCCGCGTAGCGTGAGTGACAGTGGGTGTTGCTCCCGAGTCTCTGCGAGGTCTCTGTAAACTGATGTAGGACTTGGAGCGAGCCCGAGTAGGAGCGGAGCGGAGCGGTGAGAGGCACGACCGCGGGGGTCTCAGGGAGGGCGGGGACAAAGGCAGGCGCTGGGTTATTGGCTTCCCCAACCGAAGATAAACTCAGCCATCCGCACACGCGGTCACTTGGTGTTTGTGTGCCTTCCCGTTCTGAGTAGTTCAGAGAGAGCAAGCGCAGGGCTCCGACCGCCCCTCAGTCGGTTCCTAGATCCCGGCTGGGGCTGGGGCAGGGGCAGGGGCAAACTTAGTTTGCATTCCTGCCTTGGTTGGTAAAGGTCACTGTGTAGGAAGGAGTCTGCATCAAACCACCTTTCTTGGTTACAGGAGCACCTTTGGCCCTATCAGAGCCTGCAGTAGGAAATGTTAAACCGTGTCAGGGGATCTGGGAAGAAAGCGTTTCTGGAGAAACTGTGTATTCTCACACAACCATCACCTGAAGTAACTTATCTTTATTTTACGGCATGAATTAACTAAAGCTGAGAGAGGTGAAGTGACTTGGCTGGACTCCTACAGCTTAGTAAGTGGAAGAGCTGAGATTTAAATCCAGATGAGCCTTCTCCAAATGTCATTCTTTTTTAGAAGATAGCACCCTGCAAAAAAACAAAGAGTTGGATTTATTCTTCTTTTGAAATATTTGAGCAGTGAATATTGAGTAAGTTTCGATTTGTTGGCGTTTTTTAAGGGGCACTAGGTGAATCTACAGATCTTCTAGTGAAGATTATGTAAATAAAGCTGTGACTCCCTCTTGCACATTTTAGTCTTTCTAGGGCCCCAGATGTACTGGTTAGAATTGGAAAAAGCCCAGACTGCATTCATAGGAGATGGTGAGTTTCCAGAGGGGGTGGAGGTGAGGAGAGAGAGAGAAACAGAAACAGTTTGGAGTCTAAACTGCTTTTAAAAAAAAAAGTTCCTAGGTCTTTGGATTTAGCCTTCTCAATAAATCCAACCTAATTTGAGATCTCTTACACCAACTTCAGAGTAGACACCAGAGAATCACAAGAAAGAATGACTTCCAGAGACACTGAGCATCAGAGACCAGGTTTTTAGTTAGTCTTTTAACTCGTTTATTATTATTTTCTTAGGATACATTTCAGGGGGGGAAACATGCCACTAGTTCAAAGGTTAAACAACCTGCTCTTAGTTCAGTAGGAATGTATAACATCCATATATCCATAACAGAATCACAAGTAGACATCGGTGCTGATAAAATAGGGGCTTTTCTGACTTGCTAGAAACATTCTCCCAGTAGGTGGCATTCTCGGAGGCTGCAGAGTGGGTGCTTCCATGCTGATAGAGCAGGGTTCTACATTGCAGTCCTGGTTTTCCATGTTCTTCTATTTACTTCCTAATTTTTACTTTCATAGATCTCTGTGCAAGAGTTGCAGAAGATGATTAACTTCCAGGTAAGAAATTCCTTTATTCAGTCATTTAAATCTCTCAAAAGTCCATATAAAAAGGAAATGTATAGTCAGGGAAAATGTAGATTAGGTCCAAAAGGAAATTTAGAAAATAGGTAAGTTGATATTCAGGTCACAGGGTTTGCACATAGTTGGAATACATTTGAGTTGCATTTGTGTGCTCAATATTTCTGGCCATCATAGAAAGTGGATAACCAACCAGTTAAAGTATTGGCTTTGTCTGTGAGGATAAAGCAAAATAGTTCCCCAGGTAAATAAAGGTTTTCCTGGCACAGTTCTTTGAAGAAAGTATCTTCTAATGGGCTTTCATAGAGATAATACTAAAAACATTCATAGCAAGAACCCAATGAAAAATATAACATCAGATTTCCTATGCCATTCTTAGAATGTTCCCTAGAGTAAACAGAGAACACAGTGCCAAGCAGCTCTATATAAACCCTTATAATGTTTATCCAGAAAAATAAGTAAAAGGTACCCTTGTACCTTTTTCAGGGTTTCCAGCTATTCTTGATCATTTTCTCTTTCTTGTGCATTTTAAAATCAGATTGTCAAAGTCCCTAAAGGAGTGTGTATTAAGTATTTTTGTTGTGATTGCATTACACTTTTAGATTACTTTGGAGAGAATGACTTTTCAATAACGAGTCCTTCATTTAAATTTTCTTGTAGGTTCTTCATTACAGTTTTATAGTTTTATTATTGTATTTCTTGTACATTTTTTGTAATGTTTATTCTTTTTTAAAAATATATATATTTTTATTTACTTCAGAGAGGAAGAGAGAGAGAGAGAGATGTAGAAATAACAATGATGAGAGAGAATCATTGATCCGATGCCTCCTGCACACCCCACACTGGGGATCGAGCCCTCAACCTGGGCATGTTCCCTGATTGAGAATCAAACTGTGACCTCCTGGTTCATAGGTTGATGCTCAACCACTGAGCTATGCTGCCAGGCTGTAATGTTTATTTTTACACTAGAGGCCCGGTGCACAAATTCGTGCACGGGTGGGGTCCGGCTGGCCTGCCCTGATTGGGGTGGGCCAACTGGAGGCTGAGCTGGCTGGGGGGAGGGGCTGCAGGAGGTTAGCCGGCCGGCCCCGCCCCCGATCGGTAGGGGGTGATTGGGGGCCGGGCTGGCTGGGGGGAGAGGCTGCAGGAGGGTGGCCAGCCGCAGT